GTTCAAATGTCACTAGCCTGTTTCACTCTTTGACGTCATATAGCTGGAGGGAAAACAAATAGACGACACAATACGATTCTTATGGGAGAAAATATTTTTCAATTTTAATCGAATTTCTCGAAAAATGTAATTAGTATACCTAAAAATTTTATTAAAATTCATCGAAAGAATTCAGTGTTTAAATTTTTGTTGATAAAATTGTTTATGAGAATTAAATTTTAACAAGCATACAATCATCCATAATAAATTATTTTTTTGTATTTATATAATAATTGAATTCTCGTAGAATTTTTACAATACAATTCTTATGGAAGAAAAAAGTTGCAATTTTAAAGACTTTCTATCTACATATAAATGTAATTGAAATGAAATTTTATAAATAATTGTAGTGGAATTAACACTTCACAGGATCTTCAAAATATGCTGAAATGTACGTTTTTGAGGTTAAGAACGTTTGTTTACAACTATTATCTGTATGTATAAAATAGTTGTAAACAAACGTTCTTAACTTTAAAAATATACATTTGTATGAAGTAAAAAGTATTAACTCCACTACAATTATTTTATATAAATCTATAAATAGAAAGTGTTTTAAAATCCATTAAATCTGAAAAACATTTAAAAGAAATTGCAAAATTTTTTCTCCCATAAGAATTGCCTAAAGGCGCTCGCCCAGTTCTACTAACTAACGAGAGTAAGAGAGAAAAATATTTAATTTCAATTTTTTGACTCTATCACTCTTATGTGTTACCATGACAACCTGCAGGCAGGCAATAGAACTGTACAAGCGCCTTAATACAATTTTTTATAGCGCAAGGGAAAAATATGGATTTTACATACGTAGAATACCGATGTAATTTACGTCAAAAAATAAAAACTCCGAGTTACTTGTAACTTCAACTTAGACCTGTAGAGTGAATAATAACACAGGCCGACAAAAATTTGGCGAATCTCAGAACCAAGAACCGGATAATACTTTTCCGAAAGTTTTTGACGTGCTGAACCAAATCTGACCTTAGAATTGCCCCCATCACATCAGGTTTTTGAGATATTCTAACCTAAAAGTGCCAAAAACACGTTTTTTGGTCATTTTTGAAGTCTTGTATAATAAAAAAAAAATTTTTTCTAAAAATTATTTGAGGAGTAAGCGGCCAAAAGTTGATAAGTCTATTTTTTGAAAAATTGTTACTTTGCATGTTTTCGAGAATGTTAATTAATTAAACTTTCAAATAATTACTGTTACATTAAGAAAAAAATTGTTAATAAAGAATTATATTAATTTAAAATTATTTGTACTTAACCAACAAGATTTAAAATTTTCGTTTTTTTAACTAAAGAAATGACCAAAATTATAAAATTCATTATTTATAATGCACTTTAATTAATAATGAGACTTCTAAGTCCAAAAAAGTATTTTGATATAAATAATTTGGTATATATTTTTTCTATTTTGAAATTAACTTTGGTTATGTGTCAAATTGCATTTGTTTAAATTTCTCGAAATAGTAAAAAATGGACTTATATACTTTTGGCCGCTTACTCCTCATTTGCGGCTTCTGAAAGTAGTATTCTTTTCCTTTAAGGCGTACTTGCGTTTGCGAAGACAATAGGCCCCACTTTAATGTTTTTTCCACAGTCATTTTATTTAAAATATTATAAACGATTTTTGCACCTTAAAGTACATTATAAAAACTACAAAGAGAAAAAAAATATTAAAGTGGGGCCTCTTTTTTGCCTTCGCAAACGCAAGTACGCCTTAAAACTAATATTAAACTATATGTGGACGTCCACATGAAAAGGGCCCATTTTGGCAATATTAGACTTATTTACATGGGCAAATTCCTTGGAAAATTTTGAGTGGTCACAGAACTTTTTTGGTGAAAATTTCGATGTGGGATGTGTTACAGATTTTCAAAGTTTATAACGCCAAAACCTCATTTCGAGAAAAACGGAATTAAAGATTGTGATATCTCTGGTTCTTTTGGGAAGTTATTCAGATAAGAATTGTTTCCATTTAAGGGCATCTTAAAGATGAAAAATCAAGAGGTGTTAAATTCCCCCCCTCCTATATTTTGAAAATAAGGATTACTTATTTGCAAAGGACCGACAAAATGGACCCTTTTTTTAAGAATCAATGAAATTAAACACTTAAATTAATTATAAATTAATGAAAACCGCATGATTTGACTAGTCAAAACATGTAGATTGACAATAAAAAATATTTTAAAAATTAAGAGTGAAGTCCCATGGCAGCGTTTTGCGTTGCGTTTTGTAACTAGGCCGCGAGTGCAAATATAGCAAACATATATCTCCATCTTTCTCACACTCATTGTCTAGTTACAAAACGCAACGCAAAACGCTGCCATGGGACTCCACCCTAAGATTTTGCTCCAAAATTGCGATTATCTCGAAAACTAAAACCGACAAAATGGTCTCTCGCACTTATGTCCTAGTTACAAAACGCAACGCAAATCACTACTCAATATATAGGTTCCTAAAAGTCTGCATCAGTCTGCAAATGACTGCGTTGCGTTAATTTTAACATAATTATGTTGCAATAGGTTGGTTCCAGAATGGATCAAAACGCGATGCGTCCCAATGCTAATCAAATGAGAACGCAGTCACAACGCAGACTTTTAAGGCCTTTCTCCAATTGGTTCCCCAAACTCTGCGTTTGTCTGCGAATGACTGCGTTGCGTTGATTTTAACATGTGTTGCTATAGCAACCGACGCAGACGCAGAGTTTTAGGAACATAATGGAGAAAGGGCATTAAGTAGCGTCTACAGCAGGTGCCAATATGCATGTGCAAGTGCCAGTGCCAAACCCATTCAAAATTTTTTTTGGGGATCAGCACTGGCACTTGCACATACATTGGATGTTTTCGACGTCGTCGGTCGTACCGGTCAGTTGCCACATAAAGGTGCTCAAACTGTTTATTTGAGACTATTTAGTTTAACCTAAATAGTCTCAAATAAGCACCTTTTTGTGGCAACTGACCGGTACGACCGACGACGTCGAAAACACCCATTGGCAGCTATTTGAGACGCTCCTTTAAGGCCTTTCTCCAATAGGTTCCCAAAACTCTGCGTTTGTCTGCGAATGACTGCGTTGCGTTGATTTTAGCATATGTTGCCATAGCAACCGACGCAAAGCAGATTTTTAGAAACCTATTGGAGAAAGGCCTTTAGGCACCTAATGGAGAAAGGCCTTTGGAGAATATGTTATTTTTGTGCGTTTTGCATTACGCCTTGCGTTATTTTTGTCATTTAGCAGTAAGGCCTTTCTCTAATAAGATCTAGAAGTATGCGTTGCGACTGTGTGTTTACGAAATATGCTTTGAGAATCCTATTGAGGAAAGGACACCCTTAAGCTGCCTCTACATTGATAAGAAAAAATATAACATGCGAAACGCAAATGCGAAGCGCGAGAAAAATACACGGTAATTTTTCAAAACTGGTTTTACATTTTTTCTTCGCAATATCGAAGCAGCTTTAAGTTGTATTTATTGCGAAGAAGAAACGAGAACTACACTGGAGCTTCACTTATTTTCACCAAGTCCAAACAAATTGAAAGGCAGAGTCACACTTATTTTCACTCTGAAACGTAATATTCGAGTTGATAAGTGCGACTACAAATAATTGAGATTGAAAATAAGTGAAGCTCCAGTGTATAAAAATTAGTATAGCTTTATGGCAGTTTTCGGCTTTCACCCGGGGTGTTAACACCGAGTTAAGAAAATGAAATAATTAATAATATTCATTAACATTCTGTTGGACAACTATCCAATCAGGATTAATTCGATGTTAACACCAGATGAAACACCGAAAATAGCTCAAGTCTACCAAATATTTAAGTAATCTTTTTAAAAATAATTAGTCAAATTTACCTCTTGACTTTATAGCCGTTATGTACTAATTAGAGTAGAATCAATTTGTTGGCGGTTTTTACTGTTAATTAATTAATAGTTTCTACTTATTCAGATTTATAGCGTAGCTTTAATGTTTTTTTTTATTTTTTATTATATTTCAAAATTATTGTTATTTTAAAAAAATATTTTTTCGTTTGTATTTTTACAAACGAGACACAAGAGATGAAAGAGGACACAACTAAATATATATCTCTGTCCTTTTCTAACTCAGGCGGTGTTTACATGATTGCGTTCCAACGCTGCGTTTTGCGTTCAATAATGAGAGAGAAAGAAAGAGACATACTTCTATCCTTGTTTCACTCACTACTCAATGCAAAACGCGTTCAGTTCCATGGCAGCGTTTTGCTTTGCGTTTTGTAACTAGGACATGAAAGTGAGAGAGATGGAGATATATGTTGGCTTTATTTGCACTCATGGCCTAGTTACAAAACGCAACGCAAAACGGTGCCATGTGACTGTACCCTTAGGCTTTCTGTTCGCGAACACGTCCACGAAGCAGTTGTGTTTAGGCCTTAACCCATCTAACGTAGCCAGAGGTTTGAGAGAGGTCTGTACATGCCTTCAATTTATCGTCCGGTACTTAGCCTCTTGACTTTTTTGGTCGCTTTCAGTGATTCACTGTGATGACAGGATTCCGCATTTGAAATTTGTAGTTTTGGGCATCAAATAGATAATTTTATATGTAAGTATATTTATAATGCTTAACATAATGTGTGTATTTTCCATTACAAAACTTTTCTCACTAAAAAGTATATAATTTTAACTGGTCAAATGTGAATTGTCTTTTGATTGAACATATTCTTTTCAAAATATTAACAAATTTAGTAAAAATTAAAAAGAAATTTGTTCGAAAAAATTAAATTGTAATTTAATATTTAATTATTTTTTGTATGTAAAAAGTTATTTATATTATAATAGTTTAGAACAAATCTGTTAAATTTTATTGTAATATTGGAACTAGCCTTAAGGGGATGTCAAAGTCGATGCGATTTTCCCATTGAAGCTCAATGCAAAAATCCAATCGACTTTGACATCCCCTTAAGGCGTTTGCACGCTTCGCCAAATTTTTGGGCGAGCAGCGAATTTCAAAGCCGTGAAAATTCGCTGCTCGCCCAAAAATTTGGAAGTGTGCAAGCACCTTTAAAAGCCTTTCCACTGCCACGAGGCAGTGAAAGAGAAAGATTTCTTTTACTCCTGCTGCGCTATCGTTCGTTTAATGTGCTGTGAGAAGGTGTTGAAAATGGAAACCCCCCGAAGTTCACAAAACGTCTCGGAAGCCGGTAAGTAATTATTAAACAGTTAAAAAAGTGAGTTATTTGTTAAATAATAATTAATATGAATAGTATTGTATATTTTTGCTTAAACTATAAACAACGTCCCTTCAAGAAAGTTCTGTCGTAGATCTGTAAGCCTAGACTATATTATTTTTAAAAGTAAGAAAATTCTTTGCAGAAAAATTATGTTCAAAAGTTTTTTTAAATTTTCGTTAAAATTGCAATTATTTTTAGAAATAATAAAATTCTTTTCCGAAATTCAATTATTTTCAACAATTTTAATAAAATTCTTGGCAAAATTTCAAACATTTTTCCTGAAGTCAATGACTTACAATATTTACTATTGTAATAAAATTTTACAAAAGAATTTAATTATTTAAAAAATTTTCAATAAAATTATACGCAAACATTTAATTATTTTCATAAAATAAAAAAATTTTCACATTCATCAAAAGAATTCAATTATTTAAAAATTTGTTGAAAAAATTCTCTATCAGAATTGAATTTTGAGAAACATTGAATTATTGAATAGATTGTTTTCAAGAGTAATGTATAGGTTCCAGGTCTATATAGTTTAAAACAATAATTTTTCAAATAAGACTTTTAATATTTCAAAAAATATAATGTGTATTAAATTTTTGTTAAATGTAAATTGAGAATTTCACACAATTTTTAATTCATTTTGAAAATTTTTCATGAGAATTTTTCCGTATATAAATATTGAAATAAAATATTTTTCTAAACTTATTAAAGGACAAAAAAAATCAAAGCGGCAGAGAGTGCCGAATAAATTTTTCAGCCCGGAATTGATTGGACCTCTAAAAAAAAGAAAGCCGAAAGATGAGAGTAAAAGAAATAAAAAAAATCCGGCGAAGCAAGGGAAGAAAAGGAAGGCAGAAAAAAACACAGTGAGTTTAAAAATGAATATATATTATATATATATATATATATATATATATATATATATATTATATATATATATATATATATATATATATATATATATATATATATATATATATATATATATATATATATATATATATATATATATATATATATATATATATGTCTCGAATTATAAAAGAATATTAACATTTAATTTAATTATTATTTATTATTTTAGAAGGCCTACAAAAATTTAAGTTTTTCGGTCAGCTCTTTCATTATAATCAAGTATAAAACACAATCAGGTGATAATCGGATTCACGACAATACTTTTATAAAAGTATCTTTACAATAATTAAGAATAATTAAAAATTTTTTATACATATAGTAAATTTTCATAAAATAAAGTAAATTAAATTTTTTAAAATCTTATTTACAAATGAACAAAATATTGAGGGATCGGATCGAAGAATTGTAATATTACAGTGATAATGCATGGTAATACAGGGTTACCACAGGTCAGGGGATTTAGGGAAAACCATCAATTTTTTCTATAACTTACAGTAATTTATTTTCAAATAAGTTAATTTTTAAGAACTATTATAAAATTATGACTTTATAAATTATTTAATAAATAATTTTTACAATTTTCATAAATTCTAGATTGATAGAAGAATTTTAGTTAAAAATACTAAAAAAAATTTAATTTTTGAAAGGCTAAAAATGATTCCAGAAATTCAATTATTTTCAAAAGTTATAAAAATTTTCGCAGAATTTCAATTATATTCAAAATTTTTTTTAAAAATACTCGTCAAAATCACAATTATTATCAATCATATCTTTATAAATAAAAAAATTCTTTTTCAAAATCCAATTATTTTTAAAAATTTTAATAAAATTCTTGGGAAAATTTGAATTATTTTCATAAACTATAAAACTCATCGCAGGAATTTAATTATTTTTGATACAATTTAATCAAATTCCTCGAAAAATGTAATTATTCCTAAAATTTTTATTATAATTCGTCAAAAAAATTCAATTATTAAAAAATTTTGTTGATAATATTCTTTATCAGAATTCAATTTTAACAAACATTCAATTATTCAATAAATTATTTATTTTTTAATTTCAATAATTGAATTCTTTTAGAATTTTTTAATTTAAATTTTATTAGGATTTTTGTAAATAACTTTTTTTTGAAAAATTTTATGGTAACTTAAATTATTCTAAAACATGAAGAAGGCGATCACTCTGAATAGAAGACTCGGAGTGATCGCCTTCCTCATGTTTTGTAATAATATTCTTATAATTTGTTGAATTTCAAAAACGTTTGAATTTGAATGTTTTAAAGAATTTTAATTCCTACGGAAAAATAATAATGATGAAATATTTATTTAAAAAAGAAGTTATTAATATTTTTAAGTAATTTTACAGTTAAAGAAATTTGTAAATAAATGTAATGGAACATTTTTTTGAGTGTCTAATAATTTTTAGAGTGAATCAGAATATTCTTTAGGGTCAGGGAAAAAGTGAAAATTTTGTCTGGAAATCAGGGGAAAATAAAATTAAATATTTTTGGCAACCCTTTAATATAACTGTTATTGTTACATTGATGTTACGAAGAAAGGTCACAAAATTCTGTATACAATTTTTGTAATATTACCTTGGGGAGGATACACTCAAATGTTGTGCCTTTGTAAAAATCATTTATTTAATACGTTATCAAAAAAGTTAGTTAGCTTCCCTATTGTTATAAGGTCTTTTGGTAGTAAAAATCATTATTCTTTTTTTTCTTTTTTTTACTTATTGAATTTTAAATTTTATTAATTCAAAGTAAAGTTGCTCTGAGTTGAAGAAACGTGTTAATACCCAAGTAGAACGCTGTATCACCTGAGTATCATGGCGATATTTGTCAATGATATTTCTGTGATAACGGAGAAATGTCAAAATGCCCACTTCTTGAATATTCCTGCGATATTGAGAGGATATTGTTGTGACATCGAGGAGATACTGCTGCGATATTGAGTCGGGATATTGCTGCGATATTGAGAAGATATTTTCGCTATTATTTAAATTATTATTATCGTTATTATTTAAAATATCTCTTCAATGTCACTGCAATATCCCCTCAATATCTCCTCGATGTCACATAAATATCCCCTCAATATCGCAGGAATGTCACAGGGATATTCAAGAAGCTAGCATTTTGACACCTCCTCAGTATTACAGGAATATCCCCGATAGATGTATCGCCATAACACTCTGGTGATACAGCGTGCTATTTGGGTAAATATCTTATCATAAAAGTAGTTGCAGCTACTTGCCATGAACATTGCATCAAACACTTAAAAACTCATTATGAAAAAGTATAATGAAAAGAAGGACTACTGAATCAATTATTACTTTTTTTATACAGTTCCCGATTTTCTTTTAAACATTTACTAATGAATGTTCCTAATTATTTTAGAAATTTGTAACAAATATTGAACTTTTATGTCACATACAGAACTTTAAAAATAGTTCTTTACCTTTTGGTAAATTTTTTTCCGAGTATTAATTAAAATTTTTTTACAGGATCTAGAGACGATTCAAAAAACAAAAGAAATTAAATCGACTGATGAGAATTACTTTTCTGCTCATATAAATAATGTAAGTTTTATAACACGTAGTATTATTTCCTTTCTTTTATCATTTTTAAAAATACTGAAAATTTGTTTTTGTTATATAATAGAAAAGAAAAGATTTGGAGACAATATTTGTACCGAATGTTCCAGAGATAGAAAACAATTTAATTCTTCACAGTGTAGAAAATCAAGTAAGTGAAAGATAATTTCTTTCTGTTCGTTTTCGATCATTAAATGGGGGTTTCCCAATAAGCTGCATTATTAAACATGGCGCGAACTAAGTCAGTATTTTACATATTAGGCAGTAAATTGAGGGCTCGGATCGAAGAACCGACGCTTCGCAATGTTATGTGCGTTTACAAGCGTCGGTTCTTCGATCCGAGCCCTCAATTCTTGAGAGGTCAGTAGAAGTCAGTAATTTTGTACAATATCCGTAAAGACCGTAATTTTGTATACATATAACAGTCCCTAATGTTCGTAAATTCTACAGTGAGAAAACTGTAAACGGAAAAATTCTATTCATGATCATTTATTAATATTAAATTCGAAATTATCAGTCTTAAAAATCCTCAGACACAAAGTTTTAGTAAAATTCAACTATTTCTTTAAATTTTTACGATCTTATTGGATCTCTTATTTTCAATTTTGACTAAACATGGCTCATTTTAATGACACTCATGATTTCTAATGACACTCATTTTTAATGAGTGACTCCAAAAAATTCAAAAACTAACGGTCAGAATTATTAGTCAATCTATTTTTTGATGCTTTTTGACGGATAGTGTATAAAGTTTTATGTAAATTCACAATTATAGGACAATTTTATATTTATTGTTTTAGCAAATAAGTTATTTTAAAATAAAGGTTAGTTTTTTGGTTAGTAAATGGCCTGTAATTTTATCTTTTTAGTCAGAAATTTCAGTATTTTTAACCCTTAAAGTACACACTAAATACAGTCATTGGTACCATTGTTGTTTTTTTTTAAATAACAAGAAATATTTATTTAAATACTCGAGTTTTGTAGTAAATGTAGCAAAATTTAATAAATATGATAGTTTTTTGGCATTTCTTGTTATTATAAAGATGTCAACCACTAAGACGCAGTGACAATGACTGGATCAGTTATCCTGTTGTCGCAAAAATTTCCTTATTCAAAAATTTTGAAACACGAAAAAAACATAGTTTAAATATTGATGTGTTAAATTTAGAGCTTCCCTTAAATGGTAAAAATTAGTAACTTGGACCTTCTCTGCCTTTAAAATTCAAGTTAAATTTAAGGGTAATTTTGAGCAGCAGATTTAAAAATTGTATAGTTATTATATAATAAGGAGAAGCAAATTTTGTCCTAATTCATGTTTTTTGAAGGATTGTTTTCTGATTTTTCCAATGCGCAAACAATGTTTGAAACATTTTTAATTTGAGCATAATCCTGCTGTATCAACTAACTGTCAAAAATTCACTGTTACGACAACCTGTTATTGTGTTTATTTGAGGTTGCTAGACTTGAGAAATTTTGCACTCTATGTATTGTAGAACCTAATTTATTAAATGAATAATATTTAAAAATATTTTATTAGACTAAGAAGAAGAAGGATGCGACAACATGTGACAAATGTTTGAAATTGAAGGCGCAAAACAAGGAACTTCAAATGACAGTCGAAAATATTACACTTGAAAAAGAGAACCTGTTTCTTGAAGTACGTTCCTTAAAAAATGTAATAAAAGAACTTAAAGAAAAGGACAATTCTAGTGTATTAGCTGGAATTAATGAGATTAAGGAACATCTTAAAAACCAACAGACTGAAAAAATTTCAAACCATGAGCCTAACACTGTATGTATTATTTATTTAATTATTTGTATTACTTTATAATTATTAAGTCCGTACATCTATTAACGTAACACAAACCACATGAGACAGAAATACCACTGCGGGCACTGAGACATAGGATGTCTTTAGGATATCCTAAGGTCGTCTATATCAGTTCGAAAAACATCCAAAAGACATCTTATGTTCTAGTTAGCATGCAAGATATGTTTTGGACGTCCTTTGAGCGGGCATAGATATCCTAAGGACGCTCATATATATATCCCATATATAGATATCCTAAGACATCATATGTCCCAGTGTCCACTGGAAATCTGTTTGTTTGATAATCTGTTTTATTGATAAAATTAGTCTAGAATTTTTCAAGTACGAAAAATATTATTTTTATAGGTTTCTAAATCAGTGTCCGAGCACTGTGTTATCGTTTACCCCTATGAGACACATTATTTAACAATTATCAAAAACTAAAATTTTTTAATTAAATTTGATAAACATCTAGGTCTTAGATAGATTTATAAATTTTTAAGCACAATTTTTACATTTATCATATATGGACGTCCACATGAAAAGGGTCTATTTTGGTACTATTGGCCTTATCTATATGGGCGAATTCCTTGCAAAATTTGGAAAACTTTGAGTGGTCTTAGAACCTTTCTGGTGGAAAATTTCATGAGTTACAGAATTCCCAATTCTAGAATGCTAAGAGTTCATTTCGAGAAAAACTAAATTAAAGATTGTGGTACCAATTGATAGTGATATCTCTGATTTTTCTGGACAGTTATTCAGATAGGAATTGTTTTCAGTCAATATGGCACCTTAAAGATTAAAAATCAAGAGGTTTTAAATTCCTTCCCCCTCCATTTTGAAAATATGGAATACTTTTGCAAAGGACCAACAAAATGGGCCCTTTTTTCTAAAGAGCCAATAAAATAAAACACTTAAATTAACGATAAATACCGACAGATTGGCTCAGTCGGATAGATGCCTCGCATTGGCGGTCGTTTAAGGACCAAGGGTATAAGTATCCTTGGTTCGCGCCCACTTGGCTTGGTATTTTACCGGCACGTGAGACAATCTGAGCGGGAGGTTTGACGTCGAGGTATAATGATGTGCACCGTCGATTATTGTCCGGTACACACCATTAGAACTCGACTGTCGATAAACCGGTTGTACTCAGAGAGGTTTTCTACAGTTTCCCTCTTCTCTGGCGAGAAAACCCATTGACGGGTGGTATAAACAATAATTTTTCCGAAATGTCATTTTACCGAACTGCACTTTTGCGAATAGTCATTTTTGCGAATATTTATTTTTATGAATTGTCATTTTTGTGAATTGTCATTTTTGTGAAATGTCATTTTTGCGAAAAGACATTTTTGTGAAATGTCATTTTTACGATTAGTCATTTTTGCAAAAAGTCATTTTTGCGAAAATTAGTATAGTAAACTTGTATGCATATATAGATTGACTATAGCAATTTTCGCAAAAATAACAATTCGCAAAAATGACTATTCGCAAAAATGACAATTCGTAAAAATAGCGATTTCCATAAGTGACAATTCGCAAAAATGAAATAACTAAATTGCAAATATCCCGAAAACTAAAATGGGCCTTTTTCATGTAGACGTCTACATATTTATAAATAACAGTTATGTTTATTTGAGGATATTTTTATTGCAATAAAAATATATTACATTTCTGAGTGATGAAAAAAACCTGTATTTTCATCAAAAGAGTTTTTTTCAAAAGACTTTTTGAAGAAGAAATTTGTTTAAATTTTTTACGACAATATCTTGAAGTGCAGTGTCATATGACCCTTTTTAATATTATAGGGGAGAGGGCCCCAAGGTGGTCAGGGCCCTAAGGTGGTCACCCTAAGAAAATTTTTGTATATTAGTTAGTATCTTCAAATGTTTTTTGTTATTGTTATTATTTGAGAAGACAAAAGTTTAAGTAAAGTTTTCAGGTAAATAGTCGTATGAGTCTCTTTGTAACGTGAACGTCGTAAAATTTCTGTTTTTAAATGATCGAGAAATTTTTTTCTCAGGGTGTTAAAATCATCGAAATTAACCATTTTAAATTAGTAAAAATCGTTAAAATTATCTTTACATATCGTACAATAATATTCCAAATGAATATAATTAATATTGTGCTTTAAAAAATTTTTTCATTAACGTTTAAAAAATTGTGTCTTGGCCCTAAGGTGGACACTCTTTTGGCCACAAGGTGGTCACTTTTGATTTTTTATGAAAATGTGTTTATACGCCAGATTTATCAACATTTATCACTGTGAATGTGAATTTTATCAATTTTTAAGTTTTATGATGAATAATAATGAAATAGAATTATTTTCAAAATTTTACCTGTCTAATACATACACAAAAAGTATCATTTTTGACGAAAGGACAAAATGCAAAAAAAATATTATGTAATATGTTTCTGTGATCCTGAAAAACAATTAATATTAAATAAACAACTTAATAGTACGTTTTTTACATTTTTTAAAAACTTTTTTAGCGAATTTTTGTATGGTGACCACCTTGGGGCCACTTTTTTAAAAGTCGAATTTTCAACTTTTTTTAAAAAGTGCCATAACTTTTTTTTTATTAATGAAATGAAAAAAACTTTATGATAGGAAGTTAGGTGATAAGATAAAGTTTCAAACGCCGTATTATTGTCCTTTATATATAATTCCATTTGAAATCTACAGTCGTTCAAAAGATGGGTGACCACCTTAGGGCCCTCTCCCTTATAAAAATTTTTATGTTTTTTATTTATTCTAATATTACAAAATTAAATTATGAACCTTTTTTGTTGTATTACTTAAAAATTTGCGATAAATTGACAAGTAATAAATATTTATTTGTAGACTATCTATGCTGGAATGAAAATAAACTCTGATCTTTTAAATGAGGCCATGCGCGCTACTCAGATTAGTTCCCGAGTACGCAAAATTGCAGCAGGTTACTGGCCACCAGAAAAATTAAGGAATGTAGGCGCTAAGAAACCACCGGGTGTTAGCAAAGCTGATTACATTCCTATTCGCTTCAGAGACTATCAAAATATAATGAGTAAGTATTTTCTTTAAAGGCCGTAGCAGTATAAGCATGTAAAAAGTGCCCCTACCTGGATTGGGATGATATTTAGGGAATAATTTTGACCTATTATGAAACAAATGTTCACCAAGATTCAACTCGAAAAAAAATTTGTTTTTGAGTTAAACGATTTTTTTGAAAAATTCAAAAAAATTCAAAAATTTTGATTTCCTCAAATGGTTAAACCGATTTTCATGAAAAAATTTTTTTTGTCCAATCCCTGGTTAAAAAACCGGACAGATTTCGGACTAATCCGAAATTTGTCCGAAACAGTGCGGTTTATGGTCAGGTTTTTGTCACCCGAAATTAATCCGGAAAAATCTAAACTCTATACGGTTTGTGAACAACTAGTAAATCCGGAGTTGGTCCGATGAAGTCCGACATTAATCAGTTAATTTTAACTAGTGAATCTGGAATTAGTCCGAAACAGTCAAACATTAGTCCGGACAATTTAGTGAACGTTAATAAAAAAATAATTATACAAGTTACACATATTAATAATTATTATTACTTTATGGTACATTCAACTTATTTTTCGATTTACCTATCGCAATTTTATTTACATTAACTTATAATTTCTAACGCTTGGGGATTCGAACCTACACCAATCTAACATTATATCGCACCGAAATCGAATACACTAACCACTATACCACGCTCGCATGGGAGTTAAAATTCATAATAGAATTTATCAAGTGCCACGAAAAGAAATGACAAGAAACTAGAGTTGTGCAAAAAGCTCGATCGAGTATTTCAAGCTTTTCGTTTTTCTAGCAGAGCTGAGCAGAATCAATCCGAACTTGAACCAAATTCCACCCGACACGTGCAGTATTAAACCTAAAATAATTTTGAGCACTTGAATTTTTCGAGCACTCAAATATTTTTGAGTAACTAAAACTCGAGCCTGACTCGAGTATCGAGCCCGGCTCGAGCTCGACCATGCTATTCGAGCTTTTTGCACACCTCTACAAGAAACTAACACATCAGTGTTAATTATAATATTAAAAAAGATAACTAATAATACTAGTGTAAAATCAAATTGACTGCAAAAGTAAATATTTTATTTACCATAAGTAAATACTCGATTTCGGACTAATCCGGAATTTATCCGCAACAGTACGGTTTATTGTGGAGTTTTTTTACCCTCAATGAAGTTTAAAATCAATACTGTTTTTTACAACTATTGAATCCGTAATTAGTCCGAAGTTAGTCAAATCATATGCAACTAGTAAATGCAGAAGTAAGCCGATTCAGGTTCTTGTCGCTCGGAATTAGTCCGGATGAATCCAAACTCAATACGGTTTGTCTATAACCAGTGAATCCGGAATTAGTTCGATCTAGTCCGAAGTTAGTCTGATAATACGCAACTTGCAAATGTGAATTTATCTGCATTTAATACAAATTGTTTTAATATACAAATTCAATATTATACTAAAATCATTCAGGATTAAGTCTTTGAATTAAATTCTCGAATTGAATATGAATTGTTTTGGACTGCCTGTGGATTGTATATTTACAAATTCCATGTTATTATAAGACTTTTTATCGGACTAGGTTGTTTTGATCGGATATTATTCGAATTGCCGCTGACTATTACCGGATTCTTCGCATACATATTTCGGATTGCTTCGGACATTTTACGGATTCAGTTTTTTAGCTAGATTAAATTCGGATTGTTGCGGACTGATTCCGTATTCTTTACATATTGATTTCTGATAATTCCGTACTTATTTTAGAAGAATTCTTCACCGGTTATAAATTCGGATTATTGCGGACTAATTACGGACTGAATTCGTAGACATTCAGGATTACTCCGGAGTGTTTTCGGATTCAGGTTTTCGTTCGGATTAATATCAGACTAACGCAGATCATTTTCGGACCTTTTTCGGCCAATTTTCGGACTAATCTGTAATAATCTGTCCGTATTTAATCCGGAATTAGTCTGAAATTTTTACCAGGGATATAATATGAACAGTTGATAAAAAAAATTGTCGACCAAATTCAAACAAAGAAAATCAGTAAAAAAAAATTTTTTTGATCGAAATTTTTTTGCACCACCGCCATTTTTAGTTAGTGTTTTCTAAAAAAATATTGTTTAAGCTCAACGTCGACAACTTCGGGTATATCAAAATCTTTCAGATTTTTCAACGTATTGTTTGTAACTTTATTTTAGTCATATTTTCTGGTTTTTTTTCTAAACAGGATATGTGTCCCGACGCGGTGAAATGGACTTATACGCCCAAAGAAATTAATTTTTAGTTATAATGACTTTTTATCGATTTAAAGATTCTACATAGAATGGTATCAATATCTCAAAATTAATTTTTTGGACGTAAGGTCTTTTTTCATCGCGTCAGGACACTATAACAATAATAAAATCAGTAAAAAATGCTTGATAAATAGTTTTAAATTTAGTGGCATACATTTTTATACTACAAATACTTAAAAATATTTACAAAATGTATTATTTAAATTTTTGAATTAGGTGTTGTAGATAAACTGCAGGATGATCCAACGTTGAAAATACATGGAGTTGATCTGATCAACTATGATAATAAATTTCAATATTGGGTCCAGAGGGCTGTAAACTGTAGGCGTGAAGGGTAAGATAATATAAATAATACAAATATTTAAAGTTTCAAGTTCCTTAAGTAGAGTCTACAATGAGCACGATCGACGTGGACGTGGACGCGACGTGCTGACGTCTCCTATTTGAATAGCATGGGTGACGTCAGCGTACCATGGAATGTAGACTCTACTTTAAGTAGAGTCTACATTCCATGGTACGCGAACGTGAACGTGTACGCGAACGTATGACGTCACCCATGCTATTCAAATGGGTGACGTCAGCACGGCAACGTTCGCGTTCATCCAATGTAGACTCTACTGTAATGATAGAACGTGACCGTATTAATTAATTTTATAATGTAATGTATAAAGGCTTCTGGTAGGCCCCTTAAATGTTGCATCGTTAAGCTTTCTTGGCCAACTGTTAAACTAATCAAACAGTAGTATTGTAGGTACACAAATGAAATTGCTTGATAAAATTAACATGGATTCAGATAGATAAAAAATTAATATATGTGACCTGGTCTATGAAAAGGGACCTTACGTGTCAAAAAATCATTTTTTACTTTTTTGTTGATTCGGATAGTGTTTGAAATGCTCTTTAAGATGGTGAAAACCAAAAAATCATAAGTTGATTAGAAGTTTAAAAAAAAATTTTAAAGTCAAAAGAAACAAGTTTAAAATACGATAAAACTCATTCTGTGTTATAATACAAATTAAAATAATGAATACGATAATTTTTTATTATTTAGAAAAGTTGACAGTTTCTTTGACAACTGTCAACAGTTAAAATTCAAATTTGATATCACATTCGTAATCAGCGGCCTCGAAAACCCTTACAAACATGTGTCACTTATTTATACTTATTGTTGCTAGTTAGAAAACTTAGATTATTTTTTCTATGTTTGGGGAGTTTGTTATTAATTTATATAAACAATTATTAACAAAAAATTTTCATTACTTGTATGTTTATTATTTTGACATTGTGATTTACGGTGAAGAAAATAAGCCTAACTTGATTAAAAAATATTAATATTTAAAAAAGTTACTGGGGTTTAGCTAAGTTAAACTTTAACTGCTGTTTTCTCGAAAACTTGTTTTCGCACGTAAGGTTAAATAAGTTAAATTTACAAAAAAAGTTCACATAATTTTTGGAAAATTTAACTTATTTAAGCAACTCAACCCTTGGGTTTTAATTTACATGCTCGATGTTTACGTGCACTAAAAGGTTGCTTCTTTACCTTTCCAACGATATATTTTACTTTTTGATTATCTGAATCATAATGTTAATTTCATTAAGCGATTTCCTGAGTCTTTTTTGTTCTGCCGGAAGAACGTTGGACGTTCTATCATTAAGTTTGTATCATTTTTTCTCAGTGTAAGTGATAAATAAGTGTTATGTTCTAAACTTTAATTGGAAGCTTAATGTTGAGATTATTTAATTGAGTTGAAATATAATTATAAAATTGCGTATAACTATTAACTTTATTGTTTTTATATTTTAGATTAAGCAATGAGGAAGATGAAGAAAGTGAGGAAGTTGGAGAAGGTGAGGAAGATGGAGAAGGTAAGCAAGATGGAGAGCAAGATGAAGAGCAAGTTGAGGACGAAGTAGAGGAAGATGGAGAGACAAATGAAGAAGAAGCAGATAAATAAAATTATGGAGCAGAAAAATTTTATTTTTTTTTAATAAAAATATGGAGCAGAAAAATTTTAATTTTACGAAAATGAAAATATAAAAAAATGTTTTTTAAATACAGTTCTTGAAAAAATAACTAAAATTGCATTGCACACAAAATTCCAAATTTCCATTCAAATAAAACTTAACTGGACAAATATATATTTTATTTTGTTTATACACTTGTTTTAAGAGCAACAGAACTTGGCATCTGATATCTAGACTTTTCCCTGATGTCCGAAGAATGTGTGAAAATCTCGGAAAAATTAGAAATAGTCAAAATTATGCATTGATGTTATTTCAGAATTGACAAATGTTATTCAAATTCATTTCCAAATTATGTTTTGGTCCCGGAACTGTTGTAGGTTTGAATTCAATACATAATTTTGACTTTTCCTGAGTTTTCCGCGATTTTCACACATTTTCCGATATTAAAGAAAAGTCTAGATATGATGGTAGATCTGAAATCATTTTGGAACTAAATTCAGTTAACTTTGTTCAACTCTAAACTGTTTTTGACTACCAAAGCTCAATTTTTGGTTACCATTTTTTTGTTTTAATTTTTTCATAGATTTTCCGACTTTCCCGTGAGTAAAAAACCTACAACAGTTATTTCTAGTCCAAGAAATAATTTAGAAAAAATTTGAAGAAAAAACTGAAAGAAGAAAACTTTATACAACTCTAAATTGATTCTGACTGCCAAAGCTCAGTTTGTTACAATTTTCATAATTTTTCCATATATTTTCCGACTTTTTCGTCAATATTAAAACTTACAACAGTTATCTCTTACTAGTCCAAAAAAAATTTAGAAATGAATTTGAATTACTTCTGTTAGTTCTGAAACAACGTAAATAGATTATTTTTATTATTTTGACTTTTCCTGATTTTTCAGAGATTTTCACACATTCTTCGGACATCAGGGAAAAGTCTAGATATCATTGTAGATATAAAATTGTTTTGGAATTAATCTAAGTTAACTTTGCTCTACCCTAAACCGATTCTGATCACTTAAAAAGAATTTGTTATATTTTTTTCTTATTCCAAATTAATTCTTATTTTCGGACTTTTCATGGTTTTTCCTACTATTCGATTCCTAGGCTCAAAATGTATAAGAATTCACTTAAAATTTACTTCTCGCTTCGGAGGCAAAAATCGACCCTTTTTAACATCCTCCTTTAGAAGAAACTTCTCGAGTCAGATTTTGAAATTTCTATTTGTTTATAATGTTTTTTTGTAATTCTTTACTCATATTCAGAGATGTTAACTATTTCAAATAAATCTATTTCAAATGCAAAATAGAAAATGCAAAATGCCTATTTTCATTTTACATTTTAAATGCATTTGCCGAAAACCATTTTGCATTTTGATTTGAAATGTTTTTTTTCATTATTTTGTATTTGAAAATGCAAAATACAAGAAAAATTTTTTTATATTGTAGCAATTTTTTCTTTTAAGATACTACTCCACTTTAGAATTTAAAAAAAATTTATTTTTTTATTGTATTTTTTAACTTCTTATGACTTCAGAAAACACCTCCTAAAGTACACTGTGTGACAGTAAAATGGCACTTTAAATCGGACCTATCCTAACTTGTTCGTGTTGAAAAACTGAAAAAAGTAGTATGGTTGAAATATCCCAAACACCCCCAAAATTTAATTTTAGGGGCAAAAACCGTTTTTTGTGTTTTTATGTAGAGAATTATACGTAACTTCCGTAATTTTCAACCGATTTTCAAAATTGTTCTTTTGTTTGAAAGGGGAAAAGCACACCTTTTCAACCGTGTATTGCTCGTTTAGTCAAAATAAAAATTGACAAAACCGCGGTTGAAAATATTTGCGATTTAACGATTTTCATTACATTTTTTCAACTTTAACGAGCTTTTTAGAATAATATTCGAATTTACACATTTTTTTCATGATAATTTCTTAAAAGTATACTTAATTCTGCGTAAAATGAGCATTTTTTGAAAAAAATTTAATACAAATTGAAGGAGATACGTGAATTTTAAGATTTTAAAATTTTTTCGCTAAATTTACAAATATTTCAATTTTGTTGTGGAATTTACATCAGGGCACTTTAAATTTTGTATTCACTAAATTTAATTGATTAACTGAAACGGCATGCATGTCAAACTTGTTTTTGATAGATTTAAATAAAGACAGAGTCCGTATTTAGAGGGGGTCCGGTTAAATTTTAACTTTTCTATAATTTATATTGTTTAAGTGTGTAAATGTTTTTCAAACATTATTTAGGATTAAAATCTATTCTATAATCTTCAAATAAAGAATAACAGATAATTATTTGACAATTTATATAAGAATGCCTTAAAATTTCGTAAAATATAAATTTGAACTTCTACCACATTTTTTAATTATTTTTTATTGTCGAACTTTTCATATGCTTTTTTTGCAATACTGAACAATTTTATTAATTTTGATAACATAGAATAGATTTGAATCCTAAATAATGTTTGAAAAACATTGACACACTTAAACAATATAAATTATAGAAAAGTTAAAATTTAACCGGACCCCCTCTAAATACGGACTCTGTCTTTATTTAAATCTATCAAAAACAAGTTTGACATGCATGCCGTTTTAGTTAATCAATTAAATTTACTGAATACAAAATTTAAAGTGCCCTGATGTAAATTCCACAACAAAATTGAAATATTTGTAGATTTAGCGAAAAAATTTTAAAATCTTAAAATTCACCTATCTCCCTTAATTTGTATTAAATTTTTTTCAAAAAATGCTCATTTTACGCAGAATTAAGTATACTTTTAAGAAATTATCATGAAAAAAATGTGTAAATTCGAATATTATTCTAAAAAGCTCGTTAAAGTTGAAAAAATGTAATGAAAATCGTTAAATCGCAAATATTTTCAACCGCGGTTTTGTCAATTTTTATTTTGACTAAACGAGCAAGACACGGTTGAAAAGGTGTGCTTTTCCCCTTTCAAACAAAAGAACAATTTTGAAAATCGGTTGAAAATTACGGAAGTTACGTATAATTCTCTACATAAAAACACAAAAAACGGTTTTTTGTCCCTAAAATTAAATTTTGGGGGTGTTGGGGGAATTTCTCACACATCATTGTTCATAGTTTTACTAGACCTACGACTTGTACTAGGTCTCTATAAAAGTGCTGGCAACTTTTTTTATTTTGTCACACAGTGGTATTTATAATCAATTGTAAAAAATAAAAGTAAATTTTTCAAAAAATATTCAATTAATAAAAAAAGTCATTGACAAATTAAGTAAGTCTTTAAGGGGATGGTGGGGTCCAGCTTTTTGTTACGACCAGAAGAAACATTGGTGCTAATGTATGTAACAGTGTCTGAAATAAAAAAAATGGTGGGGTTTCAATTTGCAAAAGAATTTTAGGTAATTTATAGATGGCCTCTAACGATACATATATAAGTTTAAACGCGTTTTTCTCAAAATAACGTTTTCTCAAATTGCGGACAGTTTATCTCTGAATCTACTGAACCGATTTTAATAAATGATAACTCGTTTTGTTTGTTAGCATGTCCTGTGTGAGAATTTACCAGAAAATGTTCAAAAAATTCAAAAAAACATTTTTGCAGACTAGAAAAATACTGAAAAACATAGTGTATTTTGACAAAAATTATTTAAACATCTGCTTTTTTTTATTTTAGTCGATTTTTCATTATTGGTGGTAGATTTCTATGCAAGACACCTTCCTTTTTAAAAAGCAATTTGGATTTTTTGTTTCCGATTTGTCAATCTTGAGATAAACTGTCCGCAATTGGACAACTAACTTTTTGGAGTTTCGATCTGAATGCTGTCTGCAGATTATGATATTAAATAAAAATTAAAAACAAACCATTATTTTTATTCTCCAAATATGTACTAATATAGGCAAAAAAGTTTTTTTCATATTTATAATAAAAGACCTAAGAAAAAAAATTTTTTACTTTATTCTTTTAAGAGCCTTCTAAAGTGTAGTAGTACCTTAAGGAGATTCTTCGGCTAATTCATTTTCTTTTAAATTTTACCAAACTTTATGGGAAAATATTCATTTTTACATAGGGGAGAGTCTCCAGTTGTAAGACGGGTTTCATTTTTGACCCCTAAATTGTAAACGGGTAGACGAAATTGTAAATAAAATACACCGTTCAAAAGGTAACAGAAATACGCAACTTTTATTAAAAGAAAGTATAGTGTTTCGATGAACTCAAAAAATTTTACGATACATTTTCCGAGCACATCGCTTTTTTCAGAAAAAAAAATGTCTCCAGTTGTGAGACACTAATTAAAAATTGCTAAAATTTAATAAGTTTGACATAAAACGTTATGTTTAGTAGAAAATATTAAATATATTAATAATATATATTATTATATACTAAATAATAATATTTATTCGCCAAAATATGACTATCAAATAAACACAATTTAATAGCTTCAACAAGAGCATTAAAATTGATTTCTTCTGAATCAATTGACTTTCTTCCACTTGACATGCTTGCAAAGTCGTATTTTTTATGCTGCCCAGATGGGTGTTGACACCGTCTCACAACTGGTGATATGCTGTGTCTCACACCCAGAAATTGGCGCTATTTTGAAAAAGGAAAATTAAATTATTTTCAACCGTAGATTGGAACAATGCAATATTGCATCACAAAATATAAGGAAAACACTAAAAGAAAATGCATTACATTTACCTTTTCCAATTAATTAACATGGGAAAAAAGTACTTTGCATTTATTGAAAAAACGCTTTTTAGTCGATTATCACACACAGTGTTGGTATTTAACAGAAACAGTTTATATATCCGCTTCGGCGTACACGAAAAAGTTGGCTCATATAAAAAGAAATGTTTTCATATAAACCAATCGGCTTTTTAATATTGCATGTTAAAAAAAATTGACTGTCTCACAACTGGAGACTCTCCCCTACTAAAAACGGAAATTTTCCGGTTCAAAGTTTCAATATTTACATAGGATTTCACATCAAGCATT